TGGTGTTGCTGAACAAAAAAAAAGAAAGAAAAAGATGTTTCATTTCACTTGTAGTTAAGTCAACTGAAATTACACTTCAGGGAGGCATTCCTCATTTATGAGATTGGTAAAGGCTGAACCAGTTGATAATATCCACTGTTCATGAGCATTTGGGGAACTCTAGAATACTGTTGGTTGGGAGTATAAATTAGTATCATAGGGGATTGCTTAAAAAATTATGGTATAATTCATTAGCAGAATACTATGCAACTATTAAAAAGAATGAAATAAACTGTGTTTTACTTGATTCAGTTGACTACTTTGCGAGTCGTCTGAAGAAGTGCAAGGGTGGAAGCAGGAAAACCAGTTACTAGGTTTTTGCATGAATTGAGGCAAGAGATGATTGTTAATTGAAATAAGAAAAGTTATAGGCAGTGTACGTGATATGATTCCATTTGTACATAACATACACCATAACATGCTATATATGGTGCATGATATGACATTATATTTGATATGCTCAAGCAGTGTCTTTCACTGGAGATCGGACAGAGACTTTACTTCAGTTTGTATTGTTAGATTTTTTCTTTTTTTTACAATATGCCTATAGTTAATTTACAGCAAAATTAAACTTTTACAGAAATACAATATTAACAATACGGGAAGTTAGAGGAATAATGTCATGAAATTACCCATCATCTCACCACACTATAACTTTTGTTTCCATTAAAATGTTTTTCCTGCCGAAACTGGTTTGGCTCAGTGGATAGAGTGTCGGCCTGCGGACTGAAAGGTCCCGGGTTCGATTCCGGTCAAGGGCATGTACCTGGGTTGTGGGCACTTCCCCAGTGGGGGATGTGCAGGAGGCAGCTGATCGATGTTTCTCTCTTATCGATGTTTCTAACTCTCTATCTCTCTCTCTTCCTCTCTGTAAAAAATCAATAAAATATATTTAAAAAAAAAAGATTCTCTCTTTGTCTTTTAAAAAAAAATAAAATGTTTTTCCTATGTATTTTAACACGGTTGTATTTGTTTTTATAATTTATATGCAATTTTTGTATCCTGCTTTAAAAATTTAACAGTACATACTGAATAATTTTCCATGTTGCTTAGAGTTTAAGTAATTGTCATCGCTGCATCACAGCACATCAAGTGCACTAACAATATTTCTTTGTTGCTGGAAACTCCCAATGCTTCCAGTTTTGGTAATTACAGTAATGTTGCAATGAAGAGCTGACTGCTTTCTTATAATAAAGCCTCACTATTGGAATTACTGATGCAAAGAGTATGGCTTTCTCATGTCTCTTAATTAACATTAGCAACTGTTTTCCAGAGCAGTTGCACATAATCATATTCTGCCTCCAGTAATGTATGAGAGCCTCTTTCATGATGCCTTGGCCAGTATTAGGTATCATATATTTGAGGAATGAGGGGGCGGGAGGAAGGCATGTCCCTGTTATTTTCATTGGCATATTTGGTATAGATTGGGTTGGTGTTCTCCTTTTGTGAATTTTCTGTTTGCATCCTTTGCCCATTTATCTATTAGGTAATATTTTGCTTAATAATTTTCATTGATTTGTATAACTGGCCTATTAAGGTATTTCCCAGATGTGTGAGTTTTAAGTTCTTATGAGGTCAAATCTGCCTTTTTTTTTCTTGGTGACTTATATTTTCTTAAAATATATTTTTATTGATTTCAGAGAGGAAGGGAGGGCGGGAGAGAGATAGAAACATCCATGATGAGAATCACTGATCAGCTGCCTCCTGCGTACCCCTAACTGGTTATCGAGCCTGCAACCCAGGCATGTGAATCTTGACCGGAATCAAACGTAGGACCCTTCAGTCCACAGGCCAAGGCTCTATCCACTGAGCGTAACCGGCCAGGGCATTGGTGACTTATATTTCTTAGAAAGTCATTCTCACTTGTAGAAATGACTTTTTTTGAATGTAGGTGATCCTCCTATAATTAGATGTAACATAGGAACTAGATTTATTTCCTCCTGGTATTGCTAATTAGATAATCTTTACAACCCCTCTTTCTCTTGGATCTTTCAGCATGGGACTCCCTCTAGGGGAGGCCTGCTGTGGTGGGTTCATAGCCCTACATTTCTTCCTGCTTGGCTGCCACTAATACCATCTCAGAAAGGCATAGAGATGTAATCGGTTTCTAGGGGAAGAGTGCATCGAGATTACAACTGAGGTTGAAAGTGTAGACTGAGTTCAAACCTATCTTTATCATTCACCAACACTGACCTTGAGCAAGTTATTCAATTACTCTGTGCCTGTTTTCTTGTTTCTGAACAGAGCATAATAGTGTATGTCACATAGGGTAGTGTGATGATTAAATGATCTAACATGAGACAAAGAGCAAGGGCTGGCACATAGTAAACTCTCTGTGTGCCCTGCTGCTTGCAGAATATATGACAGTCAGTATGTATAGTGCTCAAGGGATGTGAATACTCAACATACCCCAAGTCAACAATTCAACAAATATTTATTGAGGACCTACTTTTTGTTTTGTTTACCAATCACTCTTCTAGGTCTGGGAGGATACATTGGTGAACTTTTCTCATAGCTTATAATCTAGAGGAGAGAATTTGAGAAATATAAACAGATGAGTTATTTCAGATAATGGTAGATGTTATAGGTTGAATTTTGTACCCCCAAAAGATGTTGAAGTCCTAATCCCAGCACCTGTGATGTGACCTTATTTGGAAATAGTGTCTTTGAAGATGATCAAGTTAATGAAGCCCTTAGGGTGGGCTCTAACCCAATATGACTGATGTTCTTATAAAAAGGGGTACTTTGGCCCTGGCCGGTATGGCCCAATTGGTTGAGTGACGTTCCATGCACCAAGAGGTCACTGGTTTGATTCTTGCTCAGGGCATAAACAAGAATCAACCAATGAATGCATTAATAAGTGGAACAAAAAATGGATATTCTCTCTCTCTCTCTAAAAATCAATTTTTAAAAAATTTTAAAGGGGCAATTTAGACACAAAGATAGTCATAAACAGAGGGATGACAGTTGGTTGGGGTGTCGTCCAGTGAACAGAGAGGATGCTGGTTTGATTCCCTGACAGGGCACATACCTAGGTTGTGGGTTCAACCCTCAGTGGGTGTGCATATAGGAGGCAACCGATCAATGTTTCTCTCACAAATGGATGTTCCCTCCCCCCATTCCCGTCTCTATAAAACCAGTAAACAATAACTTGGGTGAGGATTAAAAAAAAAGAAAACCGAAGGAAAAGGGGGAAACAGATGTTAATGAGCAAGAAGGGTAGTACGGGCTATGTTATATGTAGTCTTGAATAACGGAAAAGGACTTTTTTTGAGTCTGAAAACAGGAATGATAATTACATAGTTTAAAGAATAACCTTTTCATGCTAAACATTAACAGGTAGCTTATTTGACAATAGCTACTATGCATGTAGTGTCTGCCTTGTGACCCGGTACTGTGCTAGTTCTTTGAAATATATATGATTTTCAGTACTCACAACCCTACAGAATTATATATATTTGTTAATAGTGATTAAAGTAAAACTTGACAGATGAGGGAATTGAGACTTAGCATTTCAGTAATTTTATCAAGACAGCACAGTTAGTAAAGAGCTGAGGTGGGATTTAAAACCAGGTCTCTCCCTGATTGTAAAGGCCATAGTCAGTTGCACTTCATTTAACTGCATATGCCCATCTCCCTTGCACTTAGCATAGAGGCCTGACCAGGATAAATGTCTAGCAGTAGCAGCGACCCCAAAATATAAATCAGATGACCTGCCTTTGCACTTAATACAACTTGTTTCCTAACAATCCTCCCCACTCCACTCCCAGCTCGCTAGTCTTTCAATGTCTTCAATAAAACCCATGCTATTCTCTCTATTAGTCATTTGTTTCCTGGCATTTATTAAATTCTGTCATTTTTTTCAGTTTACTTTCTGGTGTCTTTTCCCAGTATTAATCCCCATGAGATCCGAGAATTTGAGTTTTGTTTACCTTTGATATCCCAGAGCTGTGCTGTTCAATACCGGAGCCACTGGTCACATGTGGCTATTCAGTACTGCAAATGTGGCTCCTCTGAATTGAGATGTGCAGTGAGTGTAAAACTCATACTGGATTTTGAAGACTTGGTATGAGAAAAGAACGTATATGATCTCATTAATATTTTTTAAGATTGATTACGTGTTTAAATATTTGGCGAAACTAGGATAAATATATAATTAAAATTAACTTCACCCGTTTTACTTTTTAATGTGGCTACTAGAAGATTTTAACTTACACTAAGTGACTCATATTATATTTCTAGGCTCTGAGGCAGTGTTGTCCCAGAGCCTCGCCCAGGGTCCTGACTCATGTTATTTAGCGAAATAACCAGTGTTAACAGACAAACTGAAAAAAGAAAAAGAAGAGGGTGAGTGGAGGCATGACATTTGCCTCCCATTAGGACCATGGATACAGCGTTGTCCTAGATGTCAGGGGACCTGGGTTCTGTTCCAGGATTCACTGTGGAGCCGACCCCACTCTGGGGGTCACTCTGCCCATCAGGCAGCGGATCTCCAATGTCTGAAAGAGTATGAGTAAACGACGGAGAACGGTGGGGAACCTGGTACAACACACCTTCTCCTCTCTTTGGCTCGAGCACAGCACTAGAGCTTCGGCGGCCAACGGGAGGAGGC